TGAAAAAAAACTTTTGAAGTGATAATCAAGATAGCGCAGTACAATCACTTCAAAAGTTTTTTTTCACTTACTTAATTGGCCTCTCAGAGTTGGTAAGACAACTCCTACCTGTTCATGCTCTCTGTATGTGTGTATATATATCTCCTCAATATAAGTTCCATTCTATATGCATCCGAAGAAGTGGGCTGTAGCCCACGAAAGCTTATGCTCTAATAAATTTGTTAGTCTCTAAGGTGCCACAAGTACTCCTGTTCTTTTTGCGGATACAGACTAACCCGGCTGCTACTCTGAAACTTATAATAAAGGTGCCCTAATACTTTCCTTTATAAACCCCCGGTTTTGGTTGCTTATAATGCTGCAAAGTTTTAACCATTTGGAATAAAATTTTCCACATTTCCTCTCTGCTTAAAGCTAAGATTTTTTTAAACTTTCAGCAAAAATTGTTCAGCCACTTCAGAGACCAGGGTTTGGGTAAAATAGGAGGTTTTGTCAATGCTAAAACATTTTTCCCAACCATTTATTTGAAGAGCTCTAGGGCCTCTGTGCTTTGGTACACAGATTTAGAATTTGGCATGATAGTGGATCCTGTCCCCATGAAAATCCATGAATATTTGGTTGAGTTAGGAGCCTCAAAAAACTGCTATTTGCACATGCTCAATAGGTAAAATCTCAGAACATTTCTATCTGCAGTGGGAAGGCGGCCAGCGCCACTCACCTTCAACTACACTGAGCATGCTCAGCCCCACAGAACTCTTGTATACCAGCTTCACTGAGCATGGTCTCAGGCCTCATTCGAACTCCTGTATACACAGTGCTCCCTATACTTTGACATAGGGGAGGGTATACAGGGCTGGGAGTTAGGAGGAGACCTACCACTGTCTGGTGCTACTTCTGTGCACTTCACAGCCCATATCATTGAGCAAGGCCTCACACCTCTATCTTAGGAGGCAGACAGGTATCATTCTCCCAATTTCAAAGAGGGGAACCTTAGAATTATAATATGGCAAATCCATGTCTCTTTCACTAGCCACACTGCTTTTCAGAATGAATGCATGGGCAAACTTAATTCTGGCATTTCCTAACTTTGGAATACTTATCTTTGCACCATAACATTCTTTTAACATCAGTTTTTGTATGGAAGAAGCAAGAGGAGAATCAAGACTATTGTATAGCTAGAAGACAATACTGACCACATTTCTCTCTTCACATTGCTTTTCAACCTTACTTTAAATGAGATTATTTCAAACTAAATTTAAAAACAAGAATATTTAGTATGCTTTTAAAAACTGCAGAAGTCTAACTTTTCTAAAAAAGGATGAGTCTATTGTATATCTGACTTACATAAGTTCTCTTTTATATATACACATATATAAAGCTGTATAGTGTGTGTGTGTATACACACACACACAATACAGCTTCTACTTGAGAATGTATGAATATATTAAATGTCTTTATTCAAACAAACAAATTGCTTTCTTCAATTTGACAGTTTACTGACTCCTCTTTTGCATCATTCATCTTTCACAGATAATGCACAGAGAAAACATTCATAACAAAAGAGCCACTCAAACACATCCCCAGGCTTATAACGGCAAGATCAAGATAGAATTTGAGAGAAATGACTGGCGTTTCAGTTAAGCTTCTGTTCTCTCCTGCATGTTGTATCAGAAACTCTGTGCACAGTATTTTAATACCTCTTTGTGATCTTTTTATCACTGCTTTCCAGCCCATCCCCATTTTTGTCTGACCTGGAGAATGCCTGCTTTCATCATTCAGTTCTTGTTAGACACTGGACTTTATGCACACAGTGTGGAAGAATGCACACAGTTCTTAATCCTGGTATTAGCTAGACTTGAACACAAGCACTTTGCCATATTAAGGTCTTATTGATGAAAGAATTGATATTTCCCCACCTGATTTGGGCACTGAAGGTTAGTTGTCAGGAGTGAGCTCCTTCAGCTGAATTTGAGGATTAGCCAGCCCTGCTTCCAGGCAGATTAATGAGTTCAGGTGGGTTGTGGTAGGATGGACTGATTGACTGGCCCACCTGATTGGCTGAGGGGAGCCAGCAGCAGGCCGTTTAAGCTCAGCAGCAGGGTTGCTGGTTGTGTATGCCCACAGCCACTATCACTTCTGTGCCTGCCTTGGTTCTAATCTTGCTCCTGAATATAAGAACAGCCATACTGGGTCAGACCAATGGCTACCTAGCCCACTATTCTGTCCTCTGACAATGGGCAGTGCCAGGTGCTTCAGAGGGAATGAACAAAATAGAGCAATTATTGAGTGATTCCCGTCCCCTGTCATCCAGTCCCAGTTTCGGGCAGTCAGAGGCTTTGGGACACAGAGCATGGAGTTGTGTTCCTTACCATCTTGGCTAATAGCCATTGATGGACCTATCATCCATGAGCTTATCTAATTCTTTTTTGAACCAAGTTATACTTGGCCTTCACAACATCCCCTGGCAACGAGTTCCACAGGTTGACTGTGCATTGTGTGAAGAAATACTTCCTTATGTTTGTTTTAAACCTGCTGCCTATTCATTTCATTGGGTGACACCTGGTTCTTGTGTTATATGAAGGGGTAAATAACACTTCCCTATTCACTTTCTCCACGCTATTCATGATTTTATAGACCCCTATCATATCTCCCCTTAGTCATCTCTTTTTCAAGCTGAAAAATCCTAGTCTTTTTAATCTCTCCTCAAATGCCAGCTGTTCCACACCCCTAATTATTTTTGTTGCCCTTCTCTGTACTTTTTTCAATTGTAACATATGCTCCAATCCACTTTAGCCCCACTTTCCTGCTTGCTCCTGCCTAAGGCTCTGACACTTGGCTTAACTCCTGATTCCTGACTCTGACCCTTGGTTCTGGTTCCTGGCTCCAGCCAGTAGGCCTGACCACTCATGCCCTGGTCGTGACAGACGTCAATCCTGCTTCAAGCTTACACTACTCAGGCGTCTCCCTCTAAATTTACTGGTTGGGAATGTGAGGCATTACTATCCGACAAGTCTCTCTGTAATGCAATAACTTCTGAATGCTGCAACAACTCAATTCAGGGTCTGTTGTAGGCATCGGTAGGTAAATCTGTTGATTTTAGTGAGATTCAGAAAACCGGAAGAGGGAAATGGGGACAGATGGAACTCCTGGCATCTACTTAGCAGACCCAGCAACTTCAATCACTTGGTAATGGGATGAGTGGAGACATGGGGGCACACAAAGCCTTTGGCACTGGGGGAGGGAAATGGGGAAGGAGGGAATGGGGCAGCATACAATGTCCCTGGCAGGAGGGAATGGGAGACACACAGAACCCTGGCATGAAAGAGGGGATGGGGAGCTGCAGGGAGTCCCTGAAATACAAGGGGATGGGAGGGTGGCTCACAAGGACCTTGTGGGAGAATGGGGAGATACCAGGAGTGCCTGACATGTACAATAAGCTGGCCCTCTATTATGTGTGGCCCTCTAGTTTAATACCACTGGAGTGCATCAGTTGCGGTTTGCAATGCATACCATATAAAAATGAATGGCTTGCCCAGTAAGTTCAGAAGGTTGCAGTAATTTTCTACACATTATTTAGCATGAGAGGCTTTTGGAAAGGAAGGGCCTGTGTAAAAGTCATACATTACTTAAAAACTAAAAGTAAGCTTCTGATCTGAGCAACTGTGCCGCACAACACAAAGATTTTGTTCTAATTGTCAATCTTTTTGTAAAACAAACATGTATTTCCATGTTATTCAGTTAAAACCCTCAATTGTTTTTAATTTCAGATTAACAATTTAAAGGGAGATCAGGGTTTCTTTTTTTGTCTGGATTATATTAGGCAGCAAATACAGCAACTGGCCCTTAATCACAACAAAACATTTACAGCTCCCCCTCTTTAGTACCATTCATTAATGGCTAAGCCCTACAATTATGTCACGGAAGTCACAGAATCCATGACTTCCAGAGACCTCCGTGACATTCTCTGCCCTGGGGCTAGAGCTATCAGCAGGCAGCCCTCAGACTGGCTGGGTCCCCGGCAGCTCCTAGCTGCTACGCAGCAGAGGGACCTTGGAGCTCCCAGCTCCTGCGGGCAGGGGGGTCCTCTGGAGCGGGAGCTCCTATGGGCGGTGGAGGGACCCTGGAGCTCCCATGGGTTGGGGGGCTCCCCGCAGCTGCCCAGCCATGGTGGGCAGTGAGGGGACCTCACAGTGGCTCAGCCATGATGTGCAGCAAGGAGACTTTGCAGCGATTCAGCCGCTGGGGGGCAGGCGGAGGGCAAGGGGACCCCCACAGTCCCCAGCCGCTGTGGGTGCGGGACACTCCTCCCTCCCCATTTCGTCAGGGATATTTTTAGTAAAAATCACAGACAGGTCACGGGCTTCCATGAATTTTTGTTTATTGCCCGTGACCTGTCCGTGATTTTTCCTAAAAATATCCCTGACAAAATCTGAGCCTTAATAATGACATGTTGGTGACTGTGAGACAGCTACCCTCTGGTCAATTCTAAATCTCCCTGGATGATGCCTGCCAAAAGATAAATAGCAGCAATGTTTCTTCCTTTGTATTTTATAGGATATTTCATTAAAATCCCAAACATACAACATTTTAAAGATGTCCAACGACATTTATAATTTGACTATAAAAGCATGATGTGTCTTCAGTGGAAAAGTGCTTATGGATTGCTCCAAAAAATTAAGTTAACCTGGGAACGTGGAGATATACTGTTTTCTGATTCATGGTATCGAGAGAGAGAGAGAGAGAGAGAGAGAGAGAGAGAACAGGACAAACACTCAAATACTATTTAAATTGATATGCTGTGTCCAGACAATGCATGAGGATTTATCTGTGTCCCCATGACTCCATACAGTCATACAACTACTACAAATTATTAAGGGGCAATTTGAAGACTCATATTTGATCATGTAAAATGAATGTAGTTCCATTTCCCAAAACAAAACTATGACTACTTGAAAACTGTGCTGGTGCTTTCCACTTCCTTGAACTAATGTGCCACATCATTTTATTATCACCTCAGTCTAATCATATGCGCACTATTTTTAAATCAAGGAGGCGTGTGACAAAACCCTCCAATAATAGCTGCTTAAATTGATGATGGAAGAAAATCTCAGACTCCTTGACACTAAGAATCTGATCCCTTGAAATAATAACTACAAAGGTTTTAACATTTTCAGGATTCCTTTTCTCAAATCACGTGTTACAGTAGTGTCCTCCATTTTAGATCCATATGCACCTATGCCCCTCCAGTCAGGAAAAGTACTATGCGACTTCTTATAAATTAAAATTACACATAATTATTCTTAAATAACTGGGTTTAGAAAATGCTTTACCCATTCTTCCACTACCTTTTTAAAATCTATCTCAAAATCAACACTCAGCTTTTTCAAGAATTAGATTTCAGATACCAATATATTTTCTGAGATCACTAGAAGTCATTTCAATCAGTGAATGACACGCTTGTGCACTGGAGTAAATGCAGGTTTTATAACTTCATAAAAGAACTTCTCCTTTAATGCTGTTGTCTTAAAATCATATTACATTGTTATTAAAATCTCTGAAAATTTTCTTAGCTTTTATTATTTTTACTTGATCTATCTTAATGTTTAAAGAATGATTACTACACAAATTATCTTTTACTATACTCTTCAGCTGTAATTTCACCTGATAAACTTCTCTTTCCTTCTCTGTATGTTATGGGCAGAAGCATTACTTTTGGTATTATAGGTTTTTTTCCCCCACAATGGAATTATAGAGTATTATTTGCTTGGCATATGTACCAACAAAAAGACATAAATGCAATTGTTTTTAATTCTAGAGCAATAAAGCTAAAATATCACTTTTCCCTTCCACTTAAAAAGGATGAAACCTAATAAAGAAAAAATACTGTATGTGTAACAGCACTGGGAAATACACATATAAAATGGAATCCAGTGGAGGAATAATATATCTTGTTCTAAAGTGACTACAAATAGGTCTCCCACATAGTTGGAGTTGAAATGGGGGGTGGGGAAATCAGTTCATGTTTTTGTGTCCATGATGGTCACCAATTTCAGTCAGCAGGGATAACACATGGGCAGTCCTAGGAGTTTCAGTATCAAGTAAGCATTTGTCCTCTTTCACCATTAGAGTCTAATGTTATGAACCAATGACATGCCAATTATTAAAACCTATGCAATATCTAAAAATCATTTGTAAAAAGATTAATCTCATATAATAATTCTAATCAGTCATTCTGTAATCCATCAGGAAATCAACAAGTGAAACATTATTTGGACAATAGCAAATTTTGATCAGTTATGAGAATGATTTAACTAACAGCTATTTATTACGCTCATGTTTTACAAATGTGATGTACCCAATTCATGTTCTAACTGCATCCCACCCACCTACTAAGCTTCTTTGGCTTTTCTGATTTTAAAATTAGTATGAGTGATAATAGAGAACAGTTTATGGTATAACATAGGCACAACTAGTCATCAAAGATACAATAAGATACATTACTTTATTTAGGCAACTAGCCTTTATTTCACAGGTTTCAGAAAAGACAAAGCATTCCGAGATCACAGCTCTTTCTGCAGTTTTTGTCCACAATGATATTTAGCAGCTAATCCATCAAACTGAACAAATGAATGAATTAAAAACCAATTTATTACTCACATGCTGTTGAAGAGCTCTCGGTACGTTTCGTCACCTTTGCCTTCAGACATCAAGCTATCCAATTTGTCAATCAGTTTTGCCTCCACCTGGAACATATGCATATAAAAGGCTTCTTTGTACTTAAATTAGGTTTGAGCAAATTGAAAAAAAAGCATTTTTTTCTGTAAGAGGTTTTGTTAAATGGATTCCCTAGTATTATCGTTAAGAAATGTAAATTTCAGGATAGGTTACTTCATCTTCTGTTATCCCTGAGGATTTTTTGGGACTAATTTAAATGAAGCAATGTGACTCTAAAACTACAGGCTGAGTAGCATTTGCTGCTGCTAAGGCAGCTAGCTATTTATAGAGTCAAACAAAAAAGCATGCAGCCCAACGAGACTGCCTGAATTCTTACTGCAGGGCTGCAAGAGCAAGTCATTTTTTGGACCTTAATATAAAACCAACTCTCTGATTCCCACATCCCACTCTTTAAATCCGGGGATTAACAGTTTGGGGCTTATAGTTACTCCTGCTGCTATTGAAAACCTACCCCGACTCCAATGTAATGTATATAGCAGATGCACTGAAATTCCGAGTCATCTGTCAAGAAGAGTTGGAGAATAAAGGTTTTATAGCTGAAAATCACTGCATAAAATATTTGTACCTGTATTGATTATTGAGCAAATGTAGATAAGGTTGCTTTGTTTATTAATACATCAAAAGAGAATGACCTCCCCTCTGGCAATAGAGATACTTAGTGACTGAAAAACTAGAGGAGAAACTAGTCTATTATTGAAGTGCTCAATTAAATCATGACTCATAATTACAGCGTACCTTTAAGCCAATGATCAATACAGAGAGAATCAGAAAGTCAGTGCTTTGCTTATGCAGAATCTGTTTTTCCAATTAGTCCTCATCAACATTTTTACAATTCTTTTAACGTGTTTAAAAAATGTGATGGAAAAAACCACTTACATCACATGCTTCTCCATTCGCATAGTTTGTTTTGTGTTTCCAAATATTCCAACTGCTCCTACAGCTCCCACTCCAATCCTTATCATTGCCTGACACCAATTCAAATACTTCTGCTTTGCTTCATTTGAAACAGCAGGAAGCAGAGCACAGTGAAGCGGTTTGAGGCAGCCTGAAAGAACTGAGTGGGAGCCGAAAGAGCAGATGGCATACTTAGCAGCTCCTTACTTGATGCCTAAGCTAGTACTTGAGAGGCAAGAATAGTTGGATACTTGCAGAACGTGGTTTCTCATAAAAATCAGTCTTTTGATGGGTGGGCAAACAGATATCAGACATTATGTCAGTAAGCCATCATGGTATCGTTCTTGAGTTTCTTCTTCATTATCTTTTTTTCCCCAATTTATATTACTAAAGTAGAAAAATAAAACAACCCAACAGGAAGTTTTGCCATTGACTTCAATGGGGCTAGAATACCCTATCCCCATCTTAAATTAGCCACACCAAAATATTGAACAAACACATGGAGAGCTTAGAGGGCCAAAGGGTCTTCAAGAGCCATTAGCCTAGAATTCTACCATCTTCCCTCAAATGAAGGTTGTCATTTCTCCATCTGCTCCCTCACAGATTCTGCTAACAAGTTAATAGTTCAGTGTCAAGGCTGCCTGAGAAAAATCTGAATGTCAATCTTCCCTGCTAAAACAGCTTTACACACATTACCTGTTTGAAGTTGCCACTGCGCCTTTGTTCCCAATCCATCATGTCATGGAAAATGGGAATCATTACATTCCGCAGGTCAGGCTGAGGTATCAGTGTCACTTCTAAGAAGGGGCCAATGAGAGCTGGTATGAAGTGAAGTTTATGTTCCCCTAAAATTAAAAGGAAGCTGAATGTGAATTGGGTTCACTCTTGGGTGAGTTACCAAATGATCCAAATTAAACAATACTGTATGAAGAATTATGAAATGGCATTCTAAATGTTTACAGTTTGGTTGGCTGACAGCATGCCTGGCATGGGCTATTTCGCAAACAAACACCAGGAAAAGGAAGAGGAAAAGCCACAGAAAAGAGCCAAATAGAGGATCAGCCTGATGCATGACATTTTACAATGGAGTTCATGAATGATGTTGGGTTGTTTACTCCCGATGCTGTTTTTTTGGCAGGGGAAGAGGGAGAAGTTCAATGGGCATTGCTTTATTTAAGACTACTTTAAGAACCAGGATGTTTAGAGCATCTTTTGCAAAAAGGTTTTCCCTTTTGCAGGTACAAATTGCGCTTACATTTTTGTCTCTCCAAATACGGTTTACTACTTGAAAGCATATTCGCATTAGATGGAGGCACAAGTGCTCAGATTTGCAGCCACCCTTCATTTTGGGGGCACAGAAATGGGAGTATAAATTTTGCCTGCAAAAAATGGATTCTTAGATTGTTTTTCTCAAAATGTTTCCCTTTAGAAAAAAAGCTGATGCCTCTGCCATTAACTCACTATGTTCTACTTGGATGTTGTAGAGGGTCTCCAGATAGTAGGTAAATTTACATACCCCATAGTATATGTTGCACAAGGAGGTGAAGTTAAATTAGGAGATTTACCCATAGCTTTGAATTATTTAGCTTCTGTCACTTGCAGAAAGATCTTTTGGATCTTTTTGAGAGTTCTGGTCTATTACAATTGCCAGACGTGCAAAGAGGTTGAGAAGGGGGAAACATCAAACAACAATTGTGGTGAAAGAAAAGACAAATTTTGTAGAGAGCGAGATTTTCAAAAGCACCTATGTGATTTAGGAGCACTAGTTCAATGTAAGTTGAAAATTGCTTGTTATATATTTTCATTCATTTCAATGGGACTTGTGCTCCTAGGTCACCTCGCTATTTTTGAATATCGATTCCATAGTTAACTATCAAATTCAAGAGCAAAACCGATTTAGAATACGATCCTTTATCAAATGTCTATATACAATTGAAGTAATCATCTTATACACCGCCAGCACCTGGTTCACCATTGTGTTTCTCCAATTTACATCAGCGTAACTCCATTGACTTTAGCTAGAGTTACACAGATGGGAAATCAAGCCTCTAATGATTAAAACTCTACAACAAACTTAGAGAAGTATTTATTAAATCATTCTTTGGTTGCATAAGGTTTGTTAATTAATTGGATTAGGAAATTAACATGAATTATTGTTCCTTTTATATTAACTGTAAGGTGCATAAATGAACTTTGTACACTTTTAAATAACTAAATCCATTTCTCCAAGCCTTAGAAAACTCAAGCCATGCATCCAGAATAAATCCACTTGTACAGGTATAGTTAAATCAAATAAACTTCTACAGTAGGTGTGTCCTTCAGCAGAGCAGTCCTCCAGTCTGTGATACAGCAGGGTTCCTTGTACGCTCCTCCTCAATGAATACTGCTTGTGAGTCACCTTGGTGGTGGGCATTATTTGGACATTTCTTGTTCTCTTGAGAGACACAGTGATTCCCACAACAAGAAATATGCTCTTTACACCAAGTTGTGTAGTTCCCTTGTTGAGAGGGTGATCTTTTGGTGAATGCACCAGTTCCAGAGACAGGCAGCTTCTATTCAGAGAAGGAAAGACCTTGCTCCTCCCTGTTTGTTAATATAATGAACTATTGTCATGTTGTCTGACATGATCTGACAATGAAAGTTCTGAATAAACAGCAGGAATTGTTTGCAGGCTTCGTGTACTGCACACAGATCCAGAAAATGTATGTGCAACTGGATTCTTAGTGGGTGCAGGTACCCTGTCTGTCGAGGTGGGCTTCCCAACCTGGCAAGGAGATATCTGTAATCAATCCTTTTGTGGATGGGGTACAGACAAATGGCAGTTCTAAGATGACCTTTTTTTTGGCAGAGCAATCTCACCAGGACCCATGTTCTGGAAGATATCCAGTAGCTTATGAGGGGTGTCCTGTAATTTCCTCAGGTGGTTGTGGAGTGTGTCTCCTTAGGAGGTCTCAGCATTGCCTATAGCTATCAGGTGGTGATGGTGAAGCTGTTGTGACCACTTTATCTGGTGAAGAAAACGATACACATGCAGGGGCTGGTGGCTCAACCTGGTGAGATTGCTCCTCTTCCTCAGAGCATACCTGAGTGGGTTGAAGTTCTTCTTCATGTGGAGATGCCTATCTTGACTCCATTCTGATCTTCTGTAGTCATAATGTCTTATATATGGATCTCAGAAACCTAGTGTGAGGCATCACAGGTGTAATGGGGTGATCCTCTTGGACAAAGGCGCTGACTTATTTTTGCTGGTGGGTGCTCCTCTTCACCCTTCCCCCAATGCGAGTGGCGGCGGGGCTTCAGGGGGAAAAGACTGAGTGGGGTTGGAGCCTCGGGGTGGAGTACAGGTGGAGCAGGGGGCGGGGCTATGGTCCAGGCACTGGGGTCCATAAAAGATTAATCTGGCCCTGCGGGAGCTGAGCACTCCCTATTTTCTTCTGTGGGTGCTTGAGCCCTGGAGCACCCTATGCTCATGGAGAGGAGTACCATTGGTCCTGGGTTGATTAGTCTCTCTTGCTTGTAGGAGTGGGAAGGTGCCCATGATTTTTTGAAGCCTCTGTCGGGGTGACTTCCTATCTTGACAAGGGCTGTGAAGTTCTCCAGCTGATCCCACATTCATCAGAGAAAAAGGAAGCCTCTACGTCAATGCATGTGGTGCCATCAGTACCGGTGGTCTAACTATGTACTAGCAAGTCAACGATACTGTGAGTGGCAAGCTGAGGATGTGTGGACCATTCTGGATAGGACTGGATCCTAAACCACTGGCAATTCTGGGTTTGCAGAGATGGTAAGGTCCTCCGGGATAATTTATCTACCCCCTGATGTAGGATAATGGATAGGGTTTCTGTCCCTTGGTGGTGCCAGATGTGCCGGCTTACTTACACCAGCTTTCGGTACCAATGACTCCTTTTCTCTGCAAGTTGGTACCATTGGTGTTCTTCTGAGAGAACTGGATTTGACATAACCCGCAGCCATCTTGTGCACTTAGCCACCATAAGTTGGAAGTGAGGACACCACCTAATGAGAAAGAATTTGGCCTTGCTTAGGCAGACAAAAACATTAGCTTGGTCTGGGTGCTTGTGTCTAAGTTTCTTGTAATAGCTGCTTTGTTGGTAAGTAGAAACTATGAGTTTTTTTGCTGTTGCTAGAGAAACAAGGGGTTACTGTGAGTTATGCTTTGTTTTGAGTTACCTATAAATAGATAAGTTAGAGAGTGTACTTTGGAGAAGTTTGGATTTTCTATGAGCAAGAAGACACTGACATTAATCTCCCCAATGGCTAGGAGGAAGGATGGCCACTAGAAATCTGCTGCTGATGCCACTCAATACCATCTCAGACTTTAGGTAACTATTCTGGGGTGCTCTAGATTATTACTACTTTACATGTGTGCTTTGTACTCAAAGAGAAGGATTTTTGGGTGGAAGCACTCTTGTGCGTACCAATCATTTATCATCCACTCACTTCTTTCCCTTGATGGTGCTGTGGATAGTCCTGCCCCTTTGGTCGTTGGCAGTTTCAAGTTTTAGGTATTCTGGAACGAGTATTGTCAGGAATCAGGGCCTGTAGCAGTTCCCATCTCTGGGCAACCTAATGAGCACAAATAGCATGTAGTAGGCTTCCTAAATGGTTACACTGGCAGAGTGGTTGGAATAGTCTGCAGACCGGCTCTTAAGTCTAGCAGCAGTAGCAGTTCAACAGCTACTTAAAGTATTCAGCCACTTCTGAGGTAGCTCCTACACCTGGTTGTTCTCAGGTTGGTTGCTGTTTTGTTCCAGCTCTGCTCCTGTCTTGCACCCAGCCCTGCCTTTGACTCTGGCTCCAATTCTGGCTACCGACACCCGCGCTAACTACTGGGTCAGACTCCTGTGCTAATCACTAGGCTCGACCACCCACATCCCAGTCACTGACAGGTATGCTTCTTATGAGCACCTGGTGCGCCTGTACTGGTGCAAGGAATCTCACCCAACTTAAAGGCGGGGTGGAGGTGTGTCAGAAAATAATTCATCTTCTTGGATGAGGACTTAAGAGTGAGATTTCTCACTTTTCATTTGAGAGAATCTAGTCTTACCTGCCTTAGGTCTCCCCTGTTTCTTAGAGTCTTTGACCTGCCTTCAGCAGTCTTGGAGTCAGAAACCATTGTGCTCAAAGGTGCACTTCTCAGTATCTGGGGGGAAGAGGAGGGTCTGACAGGCTGGGGTTCGACTGAGGTCTCATTGAACAATCCACGATGAACCTTGGAAGCCTGAATTCATGGGCTTGATGGGTTCGTTGAGGAAAGGATTGAGATATGTTACATTTTGAGGGGATACAAGCTTCCCTGAGACAGAGGCCCAGTGGCAGGCCACGCAGAACTTGAATCTGAATTTTTTGTAAGTGTTTTTATTTCCAAACCTTGATCACCTTGATTGATCGGTCTTTCAGCCCTCGTATAGCTTGCACCGATCACAACACACTTTCCATTCATATTTCTAAACAATAGGAAAAATACACTAGAAATGACATACATTAAATACAGGTCATGGTGGCTCAATCTTCAAGCTGAGCTGAGTGCACATCAGTGGAAGGGGTATAGGTGCCGTAATGCCAACTTTCAACCTCTGCAATCCAACATACACCCCAGCTAATTTCCCTGTGAGATGTTCCACAGTCTGAGGATCAGCTGGAGTGTTGAGCATACTGGCTTGACCCCTTCCGAACCCTGCCATGCTCCTTAACCTTAACAAGTAGGAGCTGGTGGAATAAAGATGGCCTTTTTGGATGGAGCTGATGCTGCTCTGTTCAGTGACCAGTCTGTGATCCTAGCTGCGAGGCCACTGGCATTCAGTTGTACATGGTGGATCAGAGAGAGATGGGTCTCCAGTTGCTTGGTGTAGACGAGCACTGTCATAGATTTCTTCCAGGAGCTGGGAGGACAGCAGAACTGTTTGCATTTGTTGAAAATGGCAGTTAATACCAGGCAACCGGGGTCTCGTTGCTTCAGGAAGTTACAGTGAATGCCATCTTTTCCTGTGTTTTTGGTCTTTGTAAGTCTGGTCATTACTTCCTGTGATGTAAAGTCTTCTTCCAGGCCCCCTGAATAGTCAGTCTGGGGTAGAGGATGAATGCATCCTAGACGCTGTGTGTCATTCTGAGCTACGTGGTCTGGACACCTTGAAGTACGAGAATAATCTCTCGGACGGGATTGCGCAGTAAGATGAAGGCCCGCCAAGGATCTCTCTCAGAGCCTTTGGGCCATTTGACTGTTAGAGTTTCTGGATCCTGGATGCTGCTGCTGGATCGTAGCGGCAACTGATGTTCCTTCTCCTGGCTTCTCTGATGTTTTTGTTATGGCTCCCTGCAGTTCTGTGAGCAGTTGGTGTGTTTTCCTGAGTTACTTTCCTCCCAGATACTTTACCTGTTAGTGGGTATTTTTGACTTACAAGTCATGGGAAGATGATGGTTTTGAGAAAGGAATAGCTTTAATTAATAAACAAGAGTGCCCAAATTACTGGGATGGCCAGATGAGGAATACACGCTTCCTTACAGGTAAGAATTTTTGTATGTACAAATGCAACCCCCTTGTCAAAAAATGAAATCTATCATTTAGATTTTTCTTATCTTTCAGTATCTTGGAAAACAACAGTTTCTCATAGAGGAAAGAAGGCGTCACAATGGTAATAATGCTTTGATTTGAGCTTTATGTTCATTCTCATTTTTTTCAAGAAATAAACGGTTTTGGACCTAGTGGCCAACATTTGTATCCAAAACATTAGGTGAGTTTCAATCAAGAGGACTGGTGTATGTCAAACAAAACTACTTTCATCAAAGGATCTGAAAACACTTTGCAAATCCAAACAATTAATTCAACTTCTTAACATTTTCTGAAAAGAATTAGAACTGTTTTCCAGGAGGACAAACCAAGAAACAAAGAGGTAGTGGCTTGCCCCAGATAAACCGGCAGAACCAGTAATATAATGCAGGAGTCTTAACTAAAATTCATTACAAATTTTGTTCAACTTTTTTGTGCTACTTTGTTTCACTGTTAATTTTTATTGAGGAGATTTTTTTCTCAATTCCTTACCTAAATTTTGCCACATGCTGAAGATTTCACATCCCATCGTTACCCGCATGTCACCATATCTGTGAAATATTTAAAAAAAACACTTAAGCATAACATTATTTAGGAAATAATTTTACAAGATCATACTATAATTTAGGCTCCTGTGTAGCAAGATGAACTGTGAGATTTCCATGCTGTAATGATTTTTCCCAAGTTTTGGATGGATGTAGTATAAACAGAAAAGGAAAAAGGAAGTTTGCTAATGTCCAATACATATCTAATCAAATGGCTTGTTTCATAAACACACATTAATTTCCACATATTGTTAGTACAAGCTCCCTAAATGTTACAAACAGTAACAATGATACAACAAAGTAGTGATACCGATCTATTCTCTTAATATGCCTCAGATTTTTTCCCTCCTCTTTCCCCCAAGATAAGTAATAATTTTACCCTGTGATGTTCTTGTCTGGACACCCAGAACGATAAGGCACTGTGTTACCGCTCTGTCTCAGCAAGCGTGAACTTCGCTGGAAATAGACGGGGTGTCAGACACCGTAGTCTACCTTATCAGCAAACTCCTTGAGATTCTGCCAGCCTAAACCTTGATTTACAAGTAACAATCACTCAACCCAGTTCCTGAGATGTCTCTCTACAGTGTCCAATCCCTCTCACTGTGCTTCTCACAGACATCATCAAGTTCACTGCCTCCAAACAGCCAGAGCACACACTAGTCTGTTAGTGTTAAAGCCTCATACTTTACTTTAATACTCGGTACCGAGATGGTTTTGTAATAAAACAAGAATAAGCTTTTTAATAAAAAACAGAGATATAAGTGATGCTAAGCAAAAGAAAAAGAGACAGGTATGGTTACAAACAAAATAAAATAAAACACACTTTCTAGTGTCTAAAGCTTAACAAAATACAATCCTGGTCTCAGGGAAAGCTTTCATATATAGTCAGTTCCCATACACTTCAACCCACATGGCTGAAGGAATCACCTTCCACAGTTTCCAAGAGCTCTGACTCTTTTGTCCCCTAAGTGATGGATAACTAAAAGGTCTTTTAGCTCCCTTTATATTACCCTAAATCCACTGTCTATTCTTCTAGAGCCAGGAAGGCTTCCTGGGGTGCAGACTCCCTTTGCCGCTCATTAGCTTGATGGCTTTGTTTAACTTATATGTAAATGTACTTTCATTGTACCCAGCCTGTAATAGAGCCAGTCAGACAGGGTAATCCACATTCCTTTGTCTAGGGAAGACTTGATTTATGCACTGCCTCCCAAACACATTGTAAGAACATATTTCCAGCACACACGTAATTCTTTATACACAACCCATATATACATCACACAAATGATTTTCGAATCCAGCCTTCCACCAGTTTACATAGAATACCTAACAAACATATTTTAAATACATATTATCACAACAGTGTGTTTGGGGTAGTGAGTGCATCAGGCCTGATATGAGCCACCCAGCCAGTGGGCATTGAGGGGCTCTTAGGGTCAACAATTTTATTCTTGAAAAAAGAAAAGGAGTACTTGTGGCACCTTAGAGACTAACAAATTTATTAGAGCATAAGCTTTCGTGGACTACAGCCCACTTCTTCGGATGCACATAGAGTGGAATATATATTAAGGAGATATATATACACACATACAGAGAGCATGAACAAGTGGGAGTTGTCTTACCAACTCTGTCAATTCTTGGGGGACTGTGAAATCACATAGGACTTCATCCAAAGCCCATCAAAGTAAGCAAAAAGACTCATCTACTTCAACGGGTTTTGGATCAGGTCCATATGCTGCATAACGGCTGTTTTTTAAAACATAATTGTTTGATCTGCAGTAATTTTATGGAACCTGACTGGTACTTACTTTTCCAACACCTTTTTCTTCTTGGAAGGTGTGAACATCTCCAGTTGCAGACATAATTGGTTTATAAAAATGACAGCAAGGTAAAAGTAGGAATCCCAGATCTACAATAAACACAAGGTATTTGGTTATTTTCCGTTTCTCAGCACTAACATTTTATGTCCACTCTAGATGCAAATTTTCAGTTGTACCACTTGTCTTATTCTTCATTAATATAGCTGGTTACAATATTTTTGATTAAATGTTTTTTCAACCAAATATTCTGTTTTGTTGATGATGACATGTTTTGCAGAGACATCCTAATTTTGATGATATTTTTGGCGGGAAGGTTTCTGGGGTCCATGGTGGACTCTCACAGAGACAAAGAGAACTGAATTAAAAACCTGGCGATTTTGATTTGAAAACAGAAATTTTAACACAGTTCTGTTTTGCAAAAACTTTCAAAAGAATTTGTTTTCTCTAAGTGGAATGAAAACAAATTTAGAAAAAGTTGTTGTTCTCTGGGCAGCTCTACTTGTTACTGATACAACTTGCAAGCATCAATGACTACAGTGTCTCAGCAAGGCAAAGATGAAGTAAAGCAAGGTAATATAGTTTGTTAGCATACTGCTCCATAACTGACTTCCGTGCACATGCACTGGGAGGATCAGCTGCTGAAACTACTGTTAAGTAAAGATTTCTTAATGAAATGACATTTTTAAATATTAGCAACTCTAGGCCAGTGATTTTCAAACTTTTGTACTGGTGACCCCTTTCACATAGCAAGCCTCTGAGTGCGCCCCCCCCCCCCGATCAATTAAAAACACTTTTTAATATATTTAACACCATTATAAATGCTGGAGGCAAAGCAGGATTTGGGAGCGGAGGCTGACAGCTCACCACCCCCCACATAATAACTTCGTGACCCCCCGAGGGGTCCTGACCCTCAGTTCGAGAACCTCTGCTCTAGGCCAAATTATGGCTGCTCCAGTGTAGCTATGCGGGAGAGGAAAATAGGTGCAGGAGACAGTCATAACTGCTAAATAAGCCTGGGGAATAGTCAGTAAGCAGTTAATGATGTGGGCTTTAGCTCCCGCACATTGGCAGAGCTACATAAGGGAGCACAGACTACATAGTTTCATAGTATCTAGTACTTCAGGCCAACGTTCTCTCCATTGACTCCAGAGGCATAGCATGGACCTAGATTTTCAGAGATGCTGAGCATCCATAGCTGTACTTGAAATCACTGGGAGCATTGGGAGCTCAGCACCCCTGAATATCAGACCCTGTGCCTTATAACATGGCACAGCTAGAATAATGCCTCCAAGCACCACTGCTTGGACTGTGTGCTCACTTTCCCTCTCCCCTATGAGTAAACCTCTTAGGAGCCATCACTAAGCCTTTTGTTTTTAATCCCCTAAATATCATTCTATAACTGCAATATAACACTCTGGCCATGGGTTATTACAAATATCACAGCTCACTGAACACAGGCTAATATCTTTAACAATATCCAGCATGACATGTCATAGCATTATAATTTTAACAGTACATGCCATGTTAATTGGTCTTGAGAGAATTAAAAAAAAAAATCTAAAGCCATATTTTTGGTAAATATGCCAGGGAATAAGTAATAAAGTTCATTTTATTTTCTGAGATAATCTTGAAATATGAGCAGAAAAGAAAATAATTTTTTTAATCACGAAACCTTGATCCAAAAAACATGACACAGGTGCACTCGAGACTTAAAACCAGAAGGCAAACAAACAGAATCCCAAATACAAAACACACAACCTAATAATTTTTAAACCAATCTCATGAGTTTTGAACAGCTGAGACTGGTAGCACCACTGGAATCTAACAGCTCAGAAATTAGAGATAAATTTAATCCAAAGAGTAACAACCCAAAATCAAAAGAGCCACAGATTGACAAGCTTTTGCACTACTTATGTCACTGAACATATATTTTGGGGGAGTTCATTCTTACAGTACCTTATAATCAAAGTTTTCATTTAGGAAGTTCTTACGAAGGGCATCCGAAAGATACAGGACTGTTGTAATAATAACACTGGTAACAGAAAAAGAAGTATTACCCTTTCATTAATTGGAAAAATGTAACTTTGATTCTTTAAGTAGTAGGTCATTTTTCAATAAAATAAAGCCAGGTACCATGTGTAAACTACAGTAAATACTATATTCTAAGCATATATGAATAATTGGATACCAATACACTCTGTTGCCAGAAAATACATATGGCAAGAAACAAATTGATGACACTATGTATGGTGTAGCTGTAAGAACAGTGCTTGTGAAAACAGCTGTGGCAAGATAAAATTAACAGGAAAAATACATACCACATTACTGTGCAACCCAAACCACATAGATATCTTATAATCTATATTTGGTCCTATCAGTGATCATGTATGCAATAAGAACAACTTGTTCTAAACATTCTTTTTAGTGTGTGCATGAAAGAATATGTAATATTGCACCATTTGCAAACATTACACTGCTCTACAGCCAAAATGCTTCTGAAATAAATGTAGTCAAACTTTACTAATTCTGGGTCACTGAGAACGAAAATGATGCTTAAAATTGTTGATTGGCTCTAGTTTTCAAGATATGCTATTGGGTCAGTATATACGACCCTTGACTTGGGAATGGCAGAGGATACGTGAGTTATAAAGGGAAGGGATCTCAATTTAAACCAGAAATGACTAAAATACATCTTTGACTGGATCTATGA